TTCGATATATATGTACCTATGCTTTTACACAACATGTAGTTATTTTCATTCCTTATTGTAAGTGTCTTCATGGAGGCGGTGCATGGCTCAGTGAGTTAGGACACTGTGCCTGGTATCGGAAGGGGGCCAGTTCAAATCCCAGGGTTGACTTCTCAACTGTATGTCGCTTAGGATGAAAGCGGCCGCTTAAATAAATAAAATATAATGTGTATTTCTCGCTCTCACTCCTACACATTTGACTGAAATCCCATCTATGATTTCCGGATGTGTTTTGTGACACTTTCGGTAAGTGACGCCTTGAAAGTCACTGTAATTTGAGAAGCGTGACACACTTCTTGTTAAGAGACTGGGATGCGGCTGATGGAGTATAGATGATTTCTGGGCAGCCGCCGATACCTTCGAGGATGAGAGCGGAGAACACCGATGCTGACGATCGGATGCGCACCCCGCAGGTCCAGCACCACCCCGCAGGTCCAGCACCACCCCGCAGGTCCACCACTATTTGTGGTTATGAATCATCACTGGCAAATGTGCTGTAGGACCATTCCCTGGTGTTTTAGTGATAAATGCAGGCCATACTCTGCCATATTTGTTCTCTCAATACTTCCATTGGTCAATGTTTGTAGTCGGTCATGACAGAATTAATTTTTGAACACCTAAGTTTCATTGTCTGACCTTGAAAAATATCTGCACACGATTTGCAGGTTTTCTTCATATTCGTGTGGGTTTCCTTCCGTGGTCCCTAAAACCATACGATTAGGCAAAGTGGTGTCTTCAGAAAGTGCCTGCAGTATGTGATTGTGAGTGTCTTCTGCATCCCATCTGCACCGTCTCCATTCTTCTTTGGCAAACCACGCAAGGCGTGTTGAGCTCCAGGCAGTATGTACATATCAGTTGGACTTTTTTGTCTCTTAAATCGTTCTTTGTGCTGTTTATGAGTACTGTTCACATCCTCAGGTGGTGTGGAGGTTCTAGGCAAGATGAAGTCTGGGACAACAGAATCACTCCAATCTGTCTAAGATTACATTTTTGTCAGAATGTGCCGGGGTTTGTCTCTGGCAGTGCCTCAGCGCGCTAGGATGCAGACTCCTGTTGCACGCATCCGCTCAGACTTACAGCCGCTTTCAGACAAACTAGGAAACTTAATCACTATTTTTGGCCCAGAATTTCTGGTCCCTCTGAAGTATTCTTGGCTCACTGGTGGATGTAGCCTTTGGCCGGCCTCACCGTGTCCCCCGAACCTTCGGCTCTTACCCCAGAGAGCCGTCTCTTACCTTCCACCCCCCAACCCCACTGAGGCTGGACATTTTTGTCTAGTTTCTCAGATCACTGGCTACTGCTATTCAGGTACCTGAGTTAATCCAGCTTTTAAACAAATACCATTAGTGTCTGCATTTCATGGGGGAAGTGGGGGGGGGGGGTCACAAATGGGCAGTTGTTGAAAAATTAATAAGGGAAAAGTGTTTTACCGCTTTAGGGGGGAAAAACGACTTAATTTGAGAAGTGCATGGGTGGATTAAAGGCAGGTTCCGAGATGTAACCAGAACTGAGAAATGAAAGGAGAAGAACATTGGGCCTCAATATAAGAACAACTTTATTTTTAGCACCGCTATGACTTATTTCCCTTTGAAAGTGTTTTTCTGTGTATTTTTAAACTCCTCTTTTAAGCTTCTTGTTTTAAGATCATTGGAGTGCACAGATCATGAAAACGGTCACCTGCTGTCTTCTGACTTTTGACCCTTCCGGCCCAGCCCAATCGGTAGGGCTGCAGCTGCTCACCATCCTGCTCATCATGCGGCTCTCGGGTATGAGCAAATCATCTGGAGGATGATGCAAGGAGGAAATGCAGAAGCACCTGTCTCAGTATCGATAGTTGAATCACGGTTGAGTCAAACTAGGCTCTTTACTCAGGCATCACTGTGCGGGGGAAAAAAACGGAACCTTCAGGACAGTGATGGGTTAAAATGTAGCGGTGTGATTCTGAATAATTTCTTGGCTTGCCTGGGAGAAGCCGCAGGAAGTGGTTAGTCCTGGTGCGTGTGATGGTCATGCTGGAAAGGACATGCCTGCTCTGGATGTGGTTCCACATCACAGCTTTTCCATTGGGTGTTGGGTTTTTCGCCGTACCTCCAGCTACCAGAGCTGCTGTTTTGACTCTGAGTCACAGGGCTTGCGGGAGGTTCTGCAACCCTTAAGTGTCCTTAGGCTGGGTTATCCTCAGTGTTTCTGGGTGAAACGATGGCACACATTTATAGAGTTTTCAAAGGACTGGTGTTGTAAGGACCTTGACCTTGTTAGCCGTGGTTTTGTCCTTTCTATTCTTAATTGCATTGTCTCGATCACCAGAGGCAAAGCTTTCTTCTCATGTGGTTTCCTTTGAAACGGTAATCGGTCTTTCGTGTTACGGATTTATGTAACTGAAACTAGTCCAGAATGCATCCATAATGTTTGTAACACAAGTCGACTTGGGTTACAATAGTGTGGTTTTTGTGTGTATTGTGATATAGGACGTTAATCATTGGAATAAATGGCTGAAGAGTATCGGCAAGAGTACATAAGCCTTTAACTAACCTAATCATTTAAGAGGTGTGAACAATCCTGAGAATAGTCTTGATGAAAATGATAATTTAACAAAAAAAAACGAAATTGCTTAAAACTTTCTGGGATTTTGTATTTGTTCCCCCAAGAAACGCAGCGACTGCTCCCTCTGTGCCTGGAGTAGTTCGTGTCTCAGGTGACCCTCGAGTTTGTCTGACGTGGTGCCGAAAAGTGGCCATTTTTCATTTGGCTTCCTTGTTTGTTCTTTCACACATTTTAGTTTTGTCGTTAAATTGCAAGGGGGATTCCATGTGTACTATATTTGTGGTCTTTGGACACTCTTCGATGCCTCTCAACAGTAGATCACACTAGGCTTGGTTTCACTTTAATTTTGCTTTGTATTCCTTTTGTTAAGCTGAAGAGAAAATAAGGGCTTAGAAACGCCAACGGCTGCATGCCCGCATTTCCCTGCATATTTCTGATTTAATTTTGACCTGTAAAAATCCACTGAGATTTACATAGGAATCATCGGTTTTTAGGGCAGATGATTAATATGAAGGAATCGATGGTAGTCTTACAAATGAAGTCGTGGTGAATGCTGTGAAGTGTGTGTATCTGTCACATGAATTGGTAAGGCTTCCGCACCTCCTAGGGAACGGTAATCGTCCCTGTCAAGGACTCGCAGCAGATCTGAGCAAACCCCGTGTGCTCAAGGAGACTTCGCTGTGCATGACCCAAGCAGGAGGACTAGGTGCAGATTCAAGATCTTTATTGGCCATGTTTAGTAGGTACATTGGAATGCTCCTCTTTTGATCCATGCAAAGTCTAAATAAGACAATACAAGACAGTGCAAAACAATACAAGGCAGCATTTTAAAGACACATTGATATATCGATTAGTGTTTGGTGTATTTTGTGTTAATGTGTACATGTTTGGTGCCACTTAATGATCAGCAGAATAGCTACTAATACAAACAGGATGTAAAGAATGTTAGCAATGGTGAACCTTCCTGGAATGGCTGTTGAGACTGACCTATGGGTAACTTTTTGGGTTGGGGTTTCTTCCGGAAGGGAGTGTTGTGGATGATTCTGCCGAGCCAGCAAACTTTTGTGACCCCTTGATATTTACTTTAGGAAACATGCCTGCAGTATCTTTAGGAACGGAGAGTCCTGCTAATTATCAACAGAGTGGCACTGGCTGTGTTCTGACCCTGTTCAAAAATCACCGGCGCGTCTCCATTTTTGTTTGTGTTTCTTTTTATATTTTTGAATATTTTCTGCTAATTATGCATAGCTGGTGTAGAGGTATGCATTGAAAATTATATTTATTAGCTCCAGCTTGGCTCTCAATTTTATTTATTTATTTTTTTTGAGAAACTTATTTTAAGGTTTATTAAAATAAAATTCCAAAAATAAAAATTAAATGCCTGCTGAAAGAGCTATTTCCATATTACTTTTGTTAAATGAGTGACCAGTATTAACATTATCTAACATTAATTTTCGCAGATTTTACTGCCTTTATTTGGACTTTTTCCCCTCACAGAAAAGTCTACAAATGACAGTATTCTCAGTGGATAGATTGTGTGGTTCTCCTTGATAGTTTAAGCCAGATTGTTTAAGCGCACCTTAATGTGGCACAAATTTAAGGTCATTTTTGGATTCCTGTCTCAAATGAACCAGATTTCTATGGTTGTAACTGACTTCTATGGTCCCTGCCTTTGAAAGCTGGTTACACAAACCATGTTCTCAATCATAACGCATGCTGTGAGCGTCTGTTTGGGTAATAAGGCATGAGAAACACGCTTCTTCCAAACGGGATATCTGCGTGTCTTTCACGTGGGGCTATTCTGTTTGACACAGTTTTTTTTCTAGAGTCTGGACAATAGCTGGCGTTCTGTACGCTTACTTAACATAATGCTGATGACTGATTTTCTTATTTACTGCCAGAAGATGTATAGTCATGGCCTGCACATTGGAATGGATTCTTTTAGGAGGTATTGTGAGCAGATTGGTTTGTTAATTCTCATTCCGAGGTGAGCTATGAAACCATCAAGATGAAGTATCTGAAGGAGCTGGCATGGCTCTGGAGACCCCACGCTTGGCTCCTAACCCAGAGCAGTCCTGGAAGTGCAGGAATGTGCTGGTGTAATCTGGAGAATGGGCAGATGATGCAACTCCCTGTAATGTTGCGATGGCTTGCAGCAGGTAGCCTGGCGGCCAAGCATGTGGGCTTGCACCTGAAGGTTACCGGTGCGAATCCCAAGAGGGCTGTTCTGGCCTGAAGGTCTTCTGTAAAGTTTCCAGCTGCGTGGAACTGGAAAAAGTGGGAGTGTTTTTTTTTTTTTTAGTAAAAGCTTCAGCTTAAGCAACTGGAACATGATTTTAGCATGAAGTTGATGGCGATCTAACATTCTTTTGGATTTATTGTTTCTCCTAATCTGTCTTTATTTTACTTTATTGCAGTCTAGCTACCCAGCCTGGGAGGACTTTGTCACTAAAGGAGCTAAGCTGCAGTCCCAGTTAAGGTGAGTAACATTGTCCACAGGCATGTGGGGATGTGGGTGCCAGGTCTGTCCCCCTTTAGCCTCCCCTGTGTCCTGCTCCTCATTCTACCCATCATGCCCCTGTGCCCAGAGCCGGCACGTGGTTTTTGCTGGCCTGTTTGGCAGGAAGACAGCCTCGTCTGTAAGGACGTGTGTGCGTGCAATCCTCTGAGCTCTCCCTCCTTTATTAATGTGTGTGCGTGAGTCTGTAGGACCGGCGCCTTTGCAGTAATAACTCTGACATTTTTACACACTGTGTTGTCCAGCAGGTCATTGTGTCAGTTCTATTTAACATTACGCCCTGAAGGTTTCCTTTTGAAGTCCCTGAAGGCGATGGCTTTCAGTAATTAGTAATTGCAAAACGTTGAAGTCACAGGTGGACAAAGTAAGAAAGAGCATCAATTAAGCAAGTCGATGTGTGCTAGTGTGAGCGTGTAACGGCGTGACGTGCGTGAGCCATGGTGAAAAACCTGTACGGGCACTTTTTTTTATCCGGAGGTATGAAAGACCAGAAGACTTGAAGGTCCAGACCCGGAAAGCTGCTTGAAGCACTGGGCCAGCAGAATTCCCTTCATGCCCAATTAACACCTGTGTGCTTTTTCGGTGTGGCAGGGGTGGGGGCGGGGCTATGGTAAAATAAGCTGGCCAGAGTGCAAGAAAGACGCAGTGACCTTTGACCTTGTCAGGGGCACAAAAATAGCCGGGCTGTTCTCTTGCCGAGGCCTGGGGATGGATTCGGAAGGCGGGCTACCTGCTACCTGTTCTCCGAGCTCTCGCGTAACCGAACACCGAGATGATCCCCCTCTGGAATTCCAGCCCTTCCTAACAATAAGCCCATTGACCCGCCATCATCTTAACCCGGAGCCACCTCAACTGGTTTCGTGGGGCTGGGGTGTCATTTGGGCCGGGCGACATCTCGTGTTTCCGCCGCTATGGGTGTGTCGCCTTGTGATCTGGCCACCTCGTCAGTCCTGGTCTCGCTTCCGTCTTTTGATGTGTTCTTCGGATAAGAGAAAATCGGATCTTTGAATAGAGAGACTGAAGTTAGATCGCTGGGCACCAAGTGTGGATCACAAAGTGTATTATTCTGAAATGGATATACAAAAAGCAATTGGAAAATATGTCCATGAAGTGGAATGTGAATATGCACTTAAAAACAGAGCGGCGTCACAAAAATCCCTTTAGGACCAGCTGGCCACCAGTTGGTCTTAATAGTTTTGAAGCCGGTCATCGTTCATGTGGCTAATTTTAAATACAGCTGTCTGGAGCCCAGAAAGCGGAAGAATGCGAGTGTACATGTTGAGGTCACACTTCTGAGATAGCTGGTCTGTCAATAAACGTTGTGGGTTTAAGCCTACTAATAAATGATGGTCATAATATAGCAGATTTACATTGTTAGTTGTCAGTTGCCAAAGAAAACATGGAGAAGTGTACGTAATGTTGATGGTGCTAAAAATGTAGTCAGCCACAAATATTTTTTTTTATGTAGCTGCTAAACATAGCTAGCTTTATATAAATAAATAAATAAATAAAATAATTGATAGCCATCACAAGTTAATTCTGTTTAGGTCGAACAAAAATTTACGTGATTAAATGCGTAGGCCACATGCTGTCTATATTTCAGATCATGTTTCACAAACATATATTGTGTGCATTATAAGGATTTTGGGATGCCGTATCGAGTTGTGTGGAACTCTTGATGATGTAAAGTTTATTTAATTATATTTGCTAAAACACCAAGCAGAGAAACCACAGTTTGCCCTTGATAAGAGATGGATGTGTAGCTCTGCTTTCCGTCACGGTTGGCTGTGTTTTCACAACAAGTTGGCGTCCTGGGTGAAGAACGCATGCTGAGTCCTTATCTCGCCGATAAGAGCTGTGGCCCCAACCTGGTGCTCTTCATACGAGGTCGTACGTCATAAATCTGCGCAATTAAATGCTGTTTTAGGGATGTGCTAGTTAAGAGGAGAGAAGTGAGGGAGGCTTGGTGAGTCACTGGGGAGTGCCGCCGTCCCGCGGCTGAGGCATCCCGCATGGGCGTCGCCACGTGTGGGCGTTGACGGGCATTCGTGGGTTCTACCCCTCTTCTTAGATTCCTCAACGTTCAAAGACATTCAGTTCACATGAATTGGTGACCGGATAGCCATATTCTCCATAATTACCCTACAGCAAAAAATAATCAAAGAAAAATAACAGGCAAATATTTCTAAACAAATCTTAATGCCGCGATGGTAATATACAGTCAAAAGAACCTGCAAGCTTAGCACGATTCTGTTAAATGTCCATTAATAGAAGCAAAAACATTCTTTAGTTGTTCCCTAAAAGGAGTGACAAAATGTAAGGAATGAGTTGACCTTTTGGTCAGTTTTGGTTGAATTCTCCCTTTGAAGCTAACCAAATGTGTAATGGCTAACGTTAGTGCTGTGGCTAATGCTAAGGCTAATGGGTAAAGTGATCCCCAACAGATCACTGAATCTAAGTATGTGAAGTTAAGCGTGCTGACTTAGCTATCGGTGTTGAGTGTGACAAGCCATTGGGGTAGAAGAACCCATGCCGCTTGGGAATCCGATCTGTAGCCCTCGTTTACAGTCCGTGTGTCAGATTCAAGCTGCTGATCTTGTGTTTCAGGACAACCATCCTCGTCACGGGATCGTTCCTGGATGCCTTTCAGAAGGTAGCGGACATCGCCACGGGGACGCGAGGTGAGCGACTGATCTGGAGGCCTGTGTCCTTGGAGTTCTTGCCTCTTTTTTTTTTTTATTTTTTATTTAATTTCTGGGGTTTTGGCTGAGCTTGCCTCAGCAGCTGCTCAGGCCTGACACAGGTCTGGGTAATGGGTGGGGTGTTTTACCTGGGAATGCAGGCGTATAACCAGGCGCTGCTGTGTTCTGTGTTTACCTGCATTGTTCTCTGCGGTCGTCGCATGCCATCGTCCCTCCTCAGCGAGACAAAGTTGTGTTTCGGTGACACGTGACCGATACGCAAGTCTCGGGGCAATCGCTGAGATTTAGCGGCAATTTTCCTGCTTCGCCCTGGCGGCTGGTGCTGCCTACCGCCGCAGACAGTAAGCAGCCACGGTGACGCACAAAAACGGGGTAGCCCAGGGCTATGAGACTTTACTGGCTGGATAAATTTCCACAGCCGCCTCGTCAAGGACGTAGCGATTCTGAACTGCCTGGCGAGATTACCCCCCCCCCCATCACAGCATGTAATAACACCTACCTGCTTTTTCTCCTACAATATTGTCAAATGTTGCATTTGTGAGAGTGTTGTATATCTTTTATTACAGTGTGTATCTGTTGTGTATTTTCCGTGAAATTTACTGCTCTGGATGTAGGGCATCTGGAAAACAGTCTGATCGTTTTGCAATGGCAAATGATCGTTTTAACGACAAAGATGTAACCGACGTGTTTTATCAGACGACACGATGCACATAATATAAATGCAATAAGTCTCCCCGACTTAAAGGTATGAGCGAAAAATGTGATGTCCTCACACTAAGGGTTAAAGTTAATCATCGTAAAAGGATTAAAGGATTTTATTAGGGACTTCCTGGTAAGACAGTGTGTGTTTACTGGCCGCTTGGTCTCAGTTTGCTTCCCATGTTGCTCGTAACTCGTAACGGTCATAAACTATCTGAGCCCAAAATAAGAGCGATAACCGCAGAGCCCTTTGTCCCCGTGACGGTGAAGGGTGGCTTCATCCTACAAAGTGGCCCATTTCACTTTTGACTTAGTTTGCCTTGTCGCTCTGACTGTCTGATAGGATGTCGGCCAAATCAGCTTGGTGAGAGCTACAGGATGCTGTCAGGCGAACCGGAGGTATGGGGGGGGGCGGGGGGGTTAGCGATCAACAGCGTGGTGGGGGGGGTGTCCTTTAAGTGCCCTGTCTATGAAAGGGTGCAGTCGTGTTCCGGGAGAATCCAGAGGTGGGTCAGGCCGAGGATAGTGTGGGAATCCCATCCGGTCTCCAAGTGGCCTTGGGAATAGAGGCATTGGCCTGAGAAATCGATCTCGCCGTTCGGCATGATTTAAACCTGCTCTGATTGGTCATTGGGTCAGTCAGCATGATTTGAATCCTGCTCTGATTGGTCACTAGGTCAGCATGATTTGAAGCCTGCTCTGATTGGTCACTGGGGCAGCATGATTTGAAGCCTGCTCTGATTGGTCACTGGGTCAGCCTGAATTAAATTTCTCCCAGAGGTGATGCAACACCTGCAGGAGAGTGAAGATACATATGTACATGTTTTTTCTGATTTTCTTTTTTTTTTTAAAAAGGTCATCTTTTTTAAGATCTGTCCTGTCATTCTGTACCAGAATGGTGCTCTCAGCGTTTCGACTGGTATCTCTTTGTCAGTAAGATGGCCCCATCCATGGGCGCTGGCTTGTGCGACACACTCCTGCACCAATCCTAGCAGTGTTTCCCTCTTTCTTCGGGCCCGAAGCGATGTCATGGCAACACTGCAACCAGTTCTGTAACGCAGAAGCCTGCTCTAGCGATGGTGTGTTATGATACATCAGCCTTGGGCAGGGTTTATCCGCAGACAGGCCTGACTCTCCTAGCTTTAGAGAGTCAGCCGGGGTGAGACCCTATAACGTCTGCTACCTCAGAGCTGTTCTCCCAATGCAGTGTTTTGTTTAGCTTAATGTTTTCATATGTTTCCATCCCCTCATAGTGTAAAATGTTGCATGTAATTCAGAGGGGTTTGGATTTGTGCATGTGTCGCAAAGGTTGCAGGTTCAAATCCCACGCCCAGCTAAGCAGTCATATTAGCATTGGCCCCTTGAGCAAGGCGTTTAGCCCCTGCTCCAGAGATATGGACTGACCCTGTATGCTACTTTGGATGCAGGCATCTTCTGAAACATGTAAAATGTTCAAACCCTGAACAGTATTCTTCCACACTCGCTCTTTCTGAGTTAATTGACAGTCGCCGTTTTTCACTCACACTTTTAACTTTTAGCTACCTTGCGATGCGTGACTTGCGCATGCTCAGTGTGTACCCTTCAGAATGTCACTTAACAGGCTGCTAATTGGATAATTCTATTTAAGTTTTGTTATTTTATTTTTTTTTCTGTCCCTGGAGCCACGTGGTTTTCAACCGCCCCTCGAGCGTTGCCGTCGAGTCCTTGCCTGTCACGTCACGCCTTGGCATTTCAGAACGATCCGGCACGCTAACCAAAGAGATGTCGAGATGAAATGTGACGTTTAATTGTCAGGCCGTTGGTGCCCCTGGCACCTTTTTTGTTCATCCGGATTATATTTTCTTACCGATCTGGGGTGCTGGGATGGGGGAGGGGGGGGTGATCCTCGTCAGTTTTGTGCAGCTGGGAATAGCAGTCAGGCTCCGCTTCAGCTGGCAAAAAGCACACACAGGTAATCGCTGCCAGAGTTTGTTTTTGTGGGAACGATCTTTACCGGAGGCGCTTCGTGTACCTGTGGCGGCAGCCCTTTCTTGTCGCTGCCTTCTTTAAATATCCCGTGTCATTTCCCATCCAGTTGGTTTTCCAGAAGGTGCCAATGGGCATGACGGGGTGGCCGTCTCCCCCGGGTCGCACGGCCTGCCGTGCCCGGCATTTCGAGGGCACCATGAAGGCCTGGGAGCTGGTGGCTTCTCCCGTTACTGTTTATCCGCGGACACTGCCTTTCCTCCACACCACAAACAAATGCATTTCCACGAAAGATAGCTTATCAGTGCTTTCGACCTGTCAGCTCGAGTCGTCGCTGTCAGAGCTCGGGATGGCGATTATTCTGCAAAAACATCAGAGGAGGCAAAAGCACGCATTTCACATCCTCCCGTTCTCAGAATAAGCGTATGGGCCTACTTGATCCTCGTGTCTGGGGTGAGGGGGGCTCATCGCTCGTCCAGCCCATGCCGCTTGGCTTTCGGCAGCCATTTTGAGGTCTGGCAGTGAAGCACAGGGTCTGCCTGCACTTTCAGTAGTTCCCACTCTGCTAAATTTGCTCAGGCCTGGTCCTCCTGACGGGGTGGGGGTGGTGGGGGATCTTCGAGAGCCTTTAATTATGCCGGTTGGAACCCGCCCCACCCAGCCGCGCCGTCTCATTCCCAGCTGTACCTTTGCCCCTCCCAGGTATCCCACCCCCTTCCTCCTCTAACCCTGTCATATATTATTCGACGGCAGGAGATCAACAAATTGATTTATTTGTTTTTTTCTTGCCTGTTCCAGCCAGTCCCACGCCCAGGGGCTGTCAGCAGTTCTGGCCTGTCTGCTGGTGGCGCTGACAGCCGACAGTAAAGCAGCAGCTGATAGCTGGCTGCTCGACGTAGTAGCAGCTAACAGCCAGTAGCATGGTAGCAGCTGTAAGCTAATAACACATCGAAGCGCCGGCTAGCGGCGGTAGCTACTAGCCTTCCTGTCCCTAACATGATAATGGCTAATAGCTACAGCCATATAGCCTAGCATTGGCTAACGGTGTACCACAACAGCTGCTGTAAGCTAGTAACACATCGAAGGGGTGGCTAGCGACGGTAGCTACTAGCCTTCCCGTCTCTAGCATGATAATGGCTAATAGCTACAGTCATATAGCCTAGCATTGGCTAACAGTGTACCACAACAGCAGCTGAGCTGAGTTTGGCAGACTGCGTCTCACTTAATTTTAACATTTTATACACTTGTGTGTTTTGTAATTGATATCCCTTATATGAGCTGTTAACACGCAATGTTTCTTCTTGTCAGCTATTCTAGCTGCTAACAGTATGCCGGGCTCAGGTGCAAGAACTGCTTTATGTACGATGGCGCGTGTGTTCTGTGTTTATTCGCTGAACCGAATCGCTGGTCCGCACATACAGGGCCTCTGTGGTCAGTCTGACTCGCATATATAGCGTTACAGGATCGATTGCGCCACATTACACCGGGAAATGCATCCAGGGAGGCTTCAGGCCACAGGTTATTCAGAAGGTGAACTTCGGTCTTCCTCATTGGTAGTAGAATGGAGACGGCAGCCACCTGTCTGAGACAGCTGACTGGTCAGCTGTGTCTCAGTGGGACCGTGAAGCCGGCTGTTGCCCCGAAAAATCCCTACAAAGCTGGACTCCGTGACCATATGACACCATTGGACACATTCCAAACATCAAGGGGGTAGTAAGAATGGATATTTTGGGGGTGGGGGGGGGGGGGTAGTTGGCTCCATCGCCTGGCTCCTGCCCCCATCCGAAAGTTTCCAGAGCAGTTGTGACCTTTCTACTGAGCTGAGATCCTCAACCCCCCATTACATGGAAATGTTGTATACAAATGTAAACCACAGGCTTACGGCAGGCAGTATTTTTATAGGCCCTGAAACGTCGGAAGTCGCTTTAAAGTTATTCCTGAACATCGCTTCTTTAATTTTCTCCTGCCTTGTTAAACAGCTGACGCCGGTATAATTCAATTTGTCCTCTTTGTTTATTCCGTGCCGAAGCACAAGTTAAACTGAAGCACTACTTTGAGGAAAAGTGTGTATATATATGCTTAGGTTTTTTTTTTGTCGTGATGTCCTGGAAAGGTTCTTTAATGGTTACTTTTTAATAAGAAAATAGAATATTTGAGATGGTTTTTAGAACATTGTGAAATAGTGATTACCAATGGGTGGTTTTTTTGTTTGAAATTTTGATGAGAATCATTGCGTCTCGAGTTTTTGTTTCTTTTCTTCAGTGTTCCTGGTCACCTCAATCTTTCCTCCCGTATACCACCACTGGGCCTTTTTA